CTACATTTCACAATCAGCCACTGACGGCAGACCTTGTGAGAGAGAAGAAAGGACTTGCCTTGATCAAGCTGACAGTCAGTCCTCGATACCAACCTCGATAGCCTTCCTTGGCCCAAATTGTGGTGAGTGCACGAATAACGCCCGTATATTCGGGAATGTTCGTATGAATATACCTGCTCCTCGTCGGGCCCTGCACCTGCAGTCGCTTCCTGACCAGGTCCAGAGGGAAGACAGCGGTCTTGGCAAAGATACTGGCAAATACACCAGCAGTGGCATCGCCGGAGCCGAATGGTAAGGTCTTGCCTCCAATGTACTGATGTAGAAACTCGTAGCTCATGAAGAAGAGGCCCATATAAGGGACTATCTGGCCTAGCGCAGCACTGAGGCCGCGGAAGAAACCACTAGGTCCCTCGCGGCGGATAATGTCTTGAACAGAATTGGCGAGTCCTGTATAGATCTTTTGCGGACCCTGCGCAGCGAACCGTGTCCGGAGAAGATCCAATGGATAAGTAATTGAAGTTGCGGCGGCGCCAGCTCCTGCTCCGCTGATGAACGATTCGATAGAAGGCGGCGGACGTGTCGGAAGCATAGCCTGAGCTTGGGTAATGGAGCGATAGGCCGTAAACTGGACGCCGCCATATGTGATGTACATGAGCTCGGCGGGAATATTGCCCTTCCACAGCGCGCGGATACCCTCATCTCTCACGATTGCGCGCAAAGTCGAAAACACCCCCTTGTAGATCGGGCCTTTGATACCATCGCAAGATAGCGGATCAGAGAGTGAGTGTGGCTGAAGCTGAAGTCGAATTTTGACCACGTCTAATGGAGCGATGACGAATCTGGACACGAGGCCTGCGACACCACCGGCTATAACGACTTGCTGTCTCGTGCCCTGGTACAGAGGAGAAAAGATAAGCACATCTAATCAAATGAAAGAGAAGCTTATAAACATAAGGACAGGTTGGATGGACTTACCTCGTCCTTAAGACGCTCGATCTCCTTCGACATGCGCCCTGGACTGGCTCACCGCAAGCCGCTCCACCGGTGGTGAGGTGTTTGGTGGTGACAAGATTGCGGTGGTTGTGGGAGAGAGAATCAAAGAAGCAAGACGAAAATCGATGACATCGTTTATGCGTTTATGCGATTATCGACTGGTGCCAGTCATGCCCGCGTCACCGGGCGCTTTTCGCGTTGGGGAAGCTATTTGGCGAGCAGTGGTGGTTGCGCACGTGAGTTCGCGTATCCTTTCGATTGCAGAATACAAGATGGTTAGGTGAGGTTTCACGACATCGCCAGTCTTGCCATGATTGGTATGTTTATGTAAAGCGATTCTAGGATCTAATTCAGATAGGATTCGTTGTTTGAAAGGAAAGCACCAATTTCATGAATAGGTCGTTGTAGGAGGGTCGAAGAGAAAGGGTGGGGATGGGTTTGGAGCGCGTCATGAGTTCTACTTGTGAAGATTTAATCAACGTCCGACTTCACACATCGTGGTAAATTCACAGCTTGGTGACGAGTCGCCGCCATCCTCTTCTTCAAACATTCGTCGTTGTATCATCAAAGATGTTTTCCGTTACTCCGGTGGCGCATTTGATCCTACAAAGATGTTTCGCAACCCTCGAGAGAATGCATCTCTCCCGATAGACGAGCGAGTCCTTCCCTACCTTGGCCGGCCTCCAACCCCTCCCCCTGCGGGCCCAAAAAAGAGCCCCTACTTCACATTACCCGCCCAGTACGCTCAAGAGGTTGCGGACCAAGCCTCCAAAAAAAAGAGATCCCCCATGTCCAAGGCTTCCACATCCGGTCGTCAACCCTCCTCAAAGACTTCTGTAGCAAAGAGAAACGGGTCTGGTCAGAATCAGACCATACTCAACTTCTTCGCAAAGTCAGACAAGAATGATATCACCGGCGTGGCTACGAACGCTCCTCCTCCCTTGTTCTTTAAGGATGTGCAGTCTACTATTGAAGCGCAGGGATTAGAGGAGAACGACGCCCGATTTCACGAAAATGGCGGGTCCGTCAAGAAGAGGCGAATTCATGATGATGATGAGGAGAACTTCGAGGACCTTGTTCGCACCCCCTCACCTGGACTTGAGAGTGGTGCTGGTCAAGCCAGGATGGAGCAGAACTTACACAGTGGGAATGCAGAGCCAGTGAAGCCACCCAAGAAGTACAGAGGTGGATTCCTGGATGACTCAAGTGACGAGGAAGATATTGCCTGGACTGCGGCCATCAATAGCGCTGCCAATGCCGCCGATACCACGGAGCAAGTACGAGACACTAGCAACTTGGAGTCTGGGAGCACCATTGACGTCGATATAGGACCCAGGACGACAAGAAATGTCTCCCACCTGTTTGACTCGGATTCTGTCTCCAGGAAAACCAATGCCACCGACCAAGATAGGTATGAAGATTCGGCAATCCCTAGGAGAGATGTCCCACACTTGATACGTGAAGAAACAAGTGTTTTCGAGCCTGGAGATTTTGGAGATGATGAATTTGAGAATGATGAATTCTTCGAAGGAGGGGAAGAATACATGGAACGCAAGTGGATGGAGGAGCAACGGGAGATGGGGACGGACTTTGACAACGAGGACTCGAAGTCAGAGACTGAGAGTGTCAGAACGCCACGAAGTGTTGTCGACGATGACGTTCAAGTTGATGCCGAGGAAACTGCTGGCATTTCAGTCTGCCCAATATGTACTGGAAATCTGAGAGGACTCTCCGAAAACCAGGCATCGACACATGTTAATGCCTGTCTTGATGGTAATGCTGAACCACTTCCAGAAGCACACGATCCTCGATCTGCAAACGAAACTCGCATGCACACCGATGTTGGTGAAGCGGCTGACGTGCCAAAGCGGTTCCAGCGTGCGGCAGTTGCTCGTCCTGCCCAATCCAACCCTTTTGCTGCTTCGAAAAATGGGAAGGGAGGTTCTGCCTTTGCTAGGCTCATGTCTGGCCATGCAGAAGACGCTGCTTGGGCTGAGGCTGCTGCCCATGAAGCTCGATCTCGTGGGAAACCAGCCTATCAACGTACCTGCCCCTTCTACAAGATCATGCCTGGCTTTTACATCTGTGTCGACGCCTTTCGGTATGGCAAAGTTGAGAATCAAAACGCCTACTTTCTCAGTCATTTCCACAGTGATCATTACATTGGCCTCACCTCTTCATGGTGCCACGGGCCCATTTACGCCAGCAAAGTTACCTGCAATCTAATGGTTCAGCAGCTGAAGGTCGATCCCAAATGGATAGTCCCACTAGAATTCGAGAAGAAGGTCGAGGTGCCGAATACAAAGGGGGTCTTCGTCACCATGATTCCTGCCAACCACTGCCCTGGGTCGTCGCTCTACCTGTTTGAAAAAATCACGGGTAAGAACAAAGATGGATCTCCAAAGCTAACCCGTATCCTTCATTGTGGGGACTTTCGGGCGTGTCCAGCACATGTTGCTCATCCTCTCCTGCGTCCTGATGTTATCGACAGCGTCACCGGCTTGGCCAAGCAACAAGTTATCGACACCTGCTACCTGGACACGACCTATTTGACTCCTAAGTACGCTTTTCCAAGCCAACATGATGTCATTGATGCCTGTGCTCAGATGTGTGTCAGTCTGTCCAAGGAGATTGTGGACGACAGTGACGATTGGGAGAAAGTTAAAGCCAGCCGCGCCGGTAGTGCGATGAAGAAGTTCCTTGAACAGGGTGAGGCCACCATCGTGAGGCCGGATGATGAGGAGGCAGAGAGGAAACCGAAATTACGAGGACGTCTGTTAGTTGTCATTGGCACCTATTCGATCGGCAAGGAGCGAATCTGCCTAGGAATCGCCAAAGCTCTGAACTCCAAGATCTATGCTCCGCCCTCGAAGATGCGCATCTGTCTGTGCCTCGAAGATCCCGAACTCAATGCCAGACTAACGAAGAACCCACTTGAGGCACAGGTTCACATGCAGACATTGATGGAGATCCGAGCCGAAACACTTCACGACTATATGATGACTTACAAAGGTCATTTTGCTCGTGTGGTCGGTTTCCGACCAACGGGCTGGTCTTACCGGCCCCCAACATCACGCTTCACTGAGAACCCGGCCGTCAGTACCGTGCTGCATTCTGATGGGTGGAAAACGCGATATACTATGCGCGACCTGGCTCCTCAACGTGGAAGCACAAGGGAGTCGAACTGCTTTGGAGTACCTTACTCTGAGCATAGTTCCTTCCGGGAGCTGACCATGTTTTGCTGCGCTCTCAGGATCAACCGCATTGTTCCGACGGTTAATGTGGGAAGTGCGAGGTCTAGAGAGAAAATGAAGGCATGGATCGAAAAGTGGGAGGCTGAAAAGAGGAAAAATGGATTGTTTACAGTTCAGGCTGGGGCTGAGGGATGGGGAAGTGGGGATGGGAAGCTGAGCTATGGAGTGTAGTCGTGCGATCCATGATACCATGCTGATGCACAGATGAGTGTCATGAGTTGTCACGCAGACCCTGATGGCCGTTCTTGCGGACCTGAGATGGTGCGTAGGAGGGCAAGGCTGTTGTCATTGTATCTCGTTCGAGCATCCATGCATAAGAGGGGAGCTATCAAGTCCAACTCAGTGGTTTGGAAGAAGTCGGCGACCAGCCAAACACCCATACACATGCTCCAGCATTGACCTCGTCTAATACAGTCATTTGTAAATCAATAATTTTCCCTGGCCACATCTGAATGGTGCACTGGAACCAGCGAGTGACTCCATCGGGCGATGACCTGTCGTTTTCTTCGAAGGTCGTTTGCCACATCCGGAAGAGTGTTCTCAGCATGGTGCAGACCATGAAATGGTACTTTCACGCATCTCAATCAGAGCAATAAACCCCATATCTACACCGCCAGCGTTGCTGCGAGCCATCTAGCGCTGCCATATTTCGCGACGCGATGTCGATAGGACATGCTTTCACAAGCCATTTTGGTTCCATTTAGTGCCCGTGGAAATGTTATTCGCAGCTCATTTTGCCTTGTCGCCATTTTTTTATGTCCCTTTTCCCTTCTGACTCATTGCTTCTCTGCGACAAGCATCCTCCAACAGGCCCCTGTCGACCTTATCAGGTGGCAAGTGAACATATCTTACCACCGAGCCTCTTATAAAGATGTTCTTCACGGAAGACAGATGAGGGTATTTCAATTCATCCAGCACTGTGATATCGTCGAGTTTGATGTTTAGGTATTGATCGACGGACTTTAACGTGCCACGGATGGAAATATCGTTTTTCAGTTCGACCGTGACGGTCTGCTGGGTCAGGGTTTTGAAGAAGCTGTTTGTCCAGTCAGTGCAAGTCATGAGCGAGCGCATTGAGGGTTAGGATAGAGTACCTGAAGAACAGCATGGTGGGTGGCTAACAATGTCGGTGCGCCAGCAATGTACTTCAATGCTGCGCCCTCGAATTCAACTTGCGTTCGTCGCGACTCAAGAATACGACCACTCACAACTGCCCACTCACGGTGTGGTAGAGACATGGTTCCGCAGCGGAAACAATGCCAAGGAATCCGGAGGAAGTGCGGCCGTGGCCTTTTTGACCCGCAGAATTTTCTAGGGTGAAGTATGAGAATTCAAAGCAACCATTCTCCTCATCTTGGTTCTGGTACAGATTTGCCAACCTTATCCAGGCTTTGCTCCACTGATAGACCGGTTTGATTTTCACTCATTTCATTGGATTCTCGTCTGTGAGAACTGGGCCACCCTTATTGCGAGTGGCTCGGCAACGGTCCGCTCGCTGGCCAGATGTGACACCATCACAATGTCAAGGTTTCCCGGTTGGTTCGACCCAGCATGTGGCTATGATGTCGATGCCCGCATGGGCAAGCAATGACATCGATGATCTGATTCATCGACTCCTTCATTTCCCTGCCACCCACTCGCGATCTTGACTCGAGTTTCTCCACGATCAGCAGGCGCCTCGACGACGGAAGGCAAAATTGAGCCAATGATGAGTGCAGCGCAAAATTGCCTTGGGAAAAAAATCCAGGTCTGTCATTGTCGGCAGCAACATGTGCCTTGTACTGTTTATGAGACAAACTTCGCCTTGTAGCGATATACAAGAGTCGATTCCTTTCACCTTGTCCCCGTTCTCTCGTTCACCCAGTTAGCCATTGCAGCTTTGAAATCTCGAGGCAGTTCTGTTGTTAGCAAGCACTTGCACATCTTTAGTTGGATCTATTGCTGGATCTCGATGACATCAACAATCCACATACCCACAGCGAGCGATCATTTCATGAATTTAGAGATCCCAGATGTCACAGACCCAGCTACGGAGTCGCGCCCATGCAGCCGTCGAGTACGAGCTGCAAGCTCAAAAGCTTTCCCTTGAACCCTCGTCACAGACAAGTGACGATGCCGACAAGCCCGGTCATGCCGTTGAAGCAAAGTTCATTACCCCCCTGGACCCGGTCATCGAGACCGTAGATGGCAACAGACTACCAGCCGTCCCCGTCCAAGAAGCACACAAGATCAACTTGTTGAAGAACCGTTGTGAGGGCCGAGCGTACCGGCCAGGACGACCGCGCGGGTTGAGCCGATTTGACAGGCAGAGGGCTGGGCCTGGGAAGGTTGACCGGAACGAGTTGATGAAAGATGACCAGGAGAGCGAATCCAGCCGACTAGACGAAGCAATCCCTGTCCTTCATACACACCCGCTATTTCCTCCTTTGCCCCTTTATGGCCCTCCGTCACTCCTACGAAACCTCCAATGCTCAGTACTTCGAACGACATCAGCTGTACTCTCCACAGCCTTTCTTACCGTCATTGTTCTCGGGGCGTTATTTACGTCAATACCTCACTTTGTGAACTATGCCTGGTTGTGGCTTACCTTTCGAGATCCTTACAAGAGCAGGCCATTCTATGACGAGGAAACACGACGAGCGCTTATACGCAAGAAACAAGATAAGGAATGGGAGAGGCGCGCGGCGAAACAGGATGCAACTGCTCAGAATGGGGCAATCAAGCCGGCTGCTTCGTCACAGGAGTCGTTGATGCCGCTCGAAGGGGGACCTGACAAACTAGTTTGCGACATCAGGTACTATGCACGTCGAGTCGGTCTAGACGCCGAAGAATTCAAAGTGCAGACAGAAGACGGGTTTGTTTTATCATTATGGCATATCTACAACCCTGCAGAGTACACACCTCGTCCAATTGCGGAGCGACAACCAGATGAGCCTACCGTTTTCACAAGTTCCAAAGAAAATGTCCAACAACACTTTCAGACGCAGTACTGCGACGGCAACAGAAGATACCCCGTCCTACTCGTTCATGGGCTTTTACAGAGCGCAGGTGCTTATTGTGCAAATGACGACGACAGTTTGGCCTTTTTTCTCTGTAAGTCTGGGTACGATGTATGGTTAGGAAACAATCGTTGCGGATTCAACCCCGAGCATAGCCTGCTAGAGTATCACGATCCACGGATGTGGGCATGGAATATCCGACAGATGGGGGTGATGGACCTTCCTGCATTCATATCCCGAGTTCTGGAAGAAACAGGATTTGAGAAGCTGGGGCTAGTGTGTCACAGTCAAGGTACTACAGAAGCATTCGTGGCTTTGGCAAAAGAGCAGCGACCAGATCTGGGTGACAAAATCAGTGTCTTCTGCGCTCTCGCCCCTGCGGTTTATGCAGGCCCCTTGATTGGCAAGATGTATTTCAAGTTCATGCGGGTTATCTCGCCGTCGATGTTCAGGGTGTTTTTTGGCATTCACAGCTTCATCCCCTTGATGATGACCATGCATCGTACACTTCCTGGCAAGATCTATGGTGCTCTAGGCTACCGGGTTTTCTCGTTCCTGTTCGATTGGACAGACAAGCGATGGGATCGGGGTCTTCGGAACCGGCTCTTTCAATTCTCGCCCGTTTATGTGAGTGCGGAGAGCATGAGGTGGTGGCTGGGTCGAGAATGCTTTGCGACGCAAAAGTGCATTCTAGCCACGCGGGAAGAGGGACAAACAGAAGAGGAGGATGACGGAGACGAAAGCTCTGAGCCTGCTACGTCCGATGGAGAGGATCGAGGTAGAACCGCGTGGTATGACGAACATGTGCCTCCCCTGGCACTCTGGGTTGCTGGAAGTGACGATCTGGTTGATGGTCGGAGACTTTTACGGCGATTCGCGCGTGGGCGCGAACCATTCGTGCAGGTGGTCCACAGCAAGGTGATTGAGGAATATGAACATCTCGATGTGCTTTGGGCAATGGATGCTGTGGAGCAGGTGGGCAACGAAGTTCGTGAGGTGCTTTGGAAGACGATGCCAGAGGAGGCAAGACGGGTATGCAGAGAGATATCTGGTGTCGTGGATGATGGGGGAGGGGATCGTCAAACAGGTGGCTGTCTAAAGTAATTGGAGGCGAGGGGGAGACCGTTGATGTCCGTTGCCAGAAGCAAGTTACAGGGAGCACGAAGGAGATACATGATAGAAAGATATCCCTGTCACACGCTTTGGTGATAGGGAGAATGATATATACAGAAACAACATACAAGGGACAAACCAATGGTTGTAGCTGCTCAAAAAGGCGGGAGGTTGGCGAAACCTGGAGATGAACGCACTTGTAGGTCAACACTCGAATTCCGAATTGGGTAGGGCGATGCGGCATACCCATGAAATATCATGGATAGCTTCCACTGATGCTACAGCCCTGATTTCTAGGAGCCGACCGACGTGGCCGCGGGGCATGGTACAAGCGAAGAAGCGAAATTCAGGTACTCGGTCATTAGAAATATCGGATAGGGCGGAGACAGCGTGACAGCTTATCGTGAGGCAAAATTGAGAGCCGCAGAGAAAGATCTCATAGAGGTACTTTGTTCGGTGAGTCAGGTATCTACCTAGGTAGTTGTCTGGCCCTGCACCTGCACCTGCTCATAAATCCCTCCCACCTCTTGAAGAGATAGATGGGCTGACGGCGCAACGGGCGTAAAGGCAAAGGATGAGTAAGGTACGGTGCTGCTTGTTCCAAGAGAGTTTCTCGCGGAGAAGGAGATGGTGGAAGTGCGGCGTCACCAGGCGTGTTGGTCATATCGGGTAAGCATAACGAGTCAACGAGGAGCTGATAAGAAGAGAGGTGCTGATAGACAATATCATGTCATAGATGCAGGTTGGGATGGATTCTGGATCGAGGCAGAGAAGGCGAGAGAAGTGAAGAGGTGTGTTGAGCTATCGGCTTACAAGACCAATAGATAGTTAGTCAACGAGATTGTCGCGTGGCATTCCTTACAAGGGGCACTTTTTGAGGTGTTTGGGATTGTTGCAGTTGCTGATGGTGCTGATGATGGTGCTGATACCTTTACTGCCTTTAGTGACAATCTGCCCCATACGTTGGCGATAATTGTCTCTAGTGGTCAACAGCAGGTTTAGGCTCGCCTACCAAGAGTTTCTTTAGGCTTTAGCTACCCACGGAGACGCCCACTGTTGGACCCTGTGTTACTCGCCAAGTACCTAGGCGTAGGTCGGTGGCCCGTTCCTCCACAAGTCGCCCCCCTCCTCTCGTGCCCAGTAGCGGTCTCTTGCCCCCTCTGGTGCCCCTCTCCGACCTGGTCTTATCTCTTCCTCACCCTTCGCCAGCCATTCAGCTCTCTCATCAAAATCTCTCCATGCGATACTATACCCGTATGAACCTGCCACTCCTCGTCATGGGCCCCGCTGGGCTCTGGAGAAAGACTCCACCCTGCCGATAACCAGCGTCAAGTTTCCCGATCAAGGCTTAGCTGGTGCTTCTCAGAGGCCAATTCATGTCCATCGCCTCGCGGCCCCTGCGCAATTTCTCCCGCTGTGACAGGCTCGCCTGGCTTCGCTCTGCTTTTTTCTGTTCTCCCAGCTCGCGATGGGATGCATGACTTGATTAAAAAGATCCTCGGCGGGCATTCTGCTATGAATACGGTCTTCTTGCCTCTCATTCAGAGTTGTCCTTTTCGTGTGTGCTTCACATTGATTCTCGCCCATATCGCTAGGTCGCTTTACTGAGCGCATTGGTTCCTCTCGCAGTCTACACACCAAGGTCGTTCGAACACCTACGTCTGAATCTGGTGCTGGACGTCATTGCACATGCATAAAACTTCAATCTCATCCAAATAACATACCCACGTTTCTGGCGCCATTATGAGTGCAGACCGAAACCTCAGCGTCACCTCGCAAGGAGGACACCGCAAGTCGGTTGCAGAGGAGCCTGTGACCTCTGTGCTGCCTCCCAGCGAGGTGCCTATATTTGACCGAGAGTTGACTGCCGATGAGGAGGTTCTCGCTGCGCTTGGTTACGTGTATGTGCTTCTCTAAATGCTGCAGGTTCTCTGTTGCGCCGCATCGTTTCTAACATACAAACAGCCCTGAATTTAAGAGAGAATTCTCGTTATGGACGTCGTTTTGCGTTTCTTTCGCCGTTCTCGGCTTGCTTCCGTCCTTCGCTTCGACTCTGTACTATGGCATGGGCTATGCCGGGACCCCTGGTATGACATGGGGTTGGCTGATTGCTATGGCTTTCATTCAATGTGTTGCCATGGGCATGGGTACGTCTCGCTGCTGCAAAGATAATGCTAATGTGCCACAACTAACATAACAATAGCTGAGTTGTGTTCCTCTATGCCCACCTCGGGCGGTTTGTACTACGCTGCGGCCGTGCTGGCACCCTCAGGATATGGCCCCCTGGCTGCCTGGATCACTGGTTGGTCGAATTGGCTGGTCCAAGTCACAGGCGCCCCTTCAGTCGACTATGCTTTGGCTTCGATGATTCTCGCAGCCGGCTCCATCACCAACCCAGATTACGTCCCCCAGAACTACCAAGTTTTCCTCCTGACCACTCTGATCATGATTCTACATGCGTGCATCTCATCCATGCCTACGCGCTGGATCGCCACCTTCAACTCGTATGGGAGCACGTTCAACATCATTGCCTTGGTCATTACCATTATCACCATTCCCGCGGCCACCACCCGTGGGTCCCAGGGATTGCCCCGTTTCACCAAGAGCAGCACTGTCTGGGGCAACTTCTACGAGGGGACGGACTTTCCCAATGGAGTCGCTCTGCTCATGTCGTTCATCGCCGTCATCTGGACCATGTCGGGATACGACGCCCCTTTCCATCTTGCAGAGGAGTGCAGCAATGCAAACATTGCCAGTCCTCGGGCCATCGTTCTGACGTCTGGCGTTGGCGGTATTATGGGCTGGTTCCTGCAATTGGTCGTGGCTTATACCGTGATCGATATCGACGACGTCCTCGATTCGGATATCGGTCAGCCTTGGGCCACCTACCTCGTGCAAATCCTACCGAAAAACACTGCTCTGGCTCTGCTCTCAATGACCATCATCTGCGGCTTCTCCATGGGGCAGGGCTGTATGGTCGCCGCATCACGGGTCACTTTCGCATACGCCCGTGATAACTGCTTCCCTTACTCCAATCTGTGGAAGCAAGTCAACCCAATCACCAAAACTCCAGTCAATGCCGTCTGGCTGAACTGCGTTGTGGGAATTCTCCTGACGCTCCTCCTTTTTGGAGGTGAGGCGTCTATCGGGGCTATTTTCAGTGTCGGCGCCATTGCCGCCTTTGTCGCCTTTACCATTCCCATCACGATCCGAACTTTCTTCGTGGGCAACCGGTTCCGTCGCGGTCCATGGCACCTGGGCAAATACTCGTATCCCATCGGTGTGGCATCAACATGCTTCACCTTGTTGATGATCCCTATCCTCTGCTTGCCCAGCGTGACAGGATCGGATCTGGACGCCTCTCTCATGAACTGGACCTGTTTGGTGTGGGGCGGGCCGATGCTGTTTATCTTGATCTGGTGGGTCGTGGACGCCCACAAGTGGTTCACAGGACCAAAGGTGAACATCCAACATATGATGCTTGGACAAGACCAAAACGTTATCGACGGGAAGGAAGGGTCCGACTCGGGCAGTGGGATTTCGCCAGCCCCGGCCTCAGACATGGACAAGGCCATCCTGAACAAAGTGTGAGGTGATGTCGGAGCAAAAGCACGCAGGATGATTGGATTTCAAGCGACATGAGCACTGTTGGACTTTTAGTTTTGTGCGTGGAGGATGCATGTATACCCCAGGAATGCCCACCTCGGCGACTCTTCGTATTTAGTGTAATTTGGATGATGAACTCTTCGAATAAGTTTGATTTTTTTTTTTTTCTTCGTCAAACGCAAGTTGCACTTTATCTACGAGGTACGGATAGGGCGGATGGGGCTGAAGTCGGTGCTTGTATGGAAGGGAGGAGAGAAGGAATTGGAGCTGTGGCTGTAAAAGAGACAGACACTCTTCCGATTGGAGTTGAGCTCTTGGAATAAAATTGTCAGGATTCATAGTCAGATTGTAGCTGCTACAAGCATCTTGTGATTATGTACCTGGGCAAGGAAGGGCACATGCATTTCGTTTACCTTGCTCGCTTGATCTCTTCTGCTCGATGTACCGAGTACATCCTTGATTGTAAGTCGCCTTCACCTGGTGTGCATGGGTGCTCGATGTATCCATCCGGGGGATTTCCGCTTGATGGATCTGCGACTTGTACCTCGTACGAGTGACTTATGCATGGATCAGCGCTATCATCCACCACAGAAGCAGCTCGATTGCAATCAGACAGCGGAACGACTCATTCTTAGTTACATCCCTCGGCACAAGCCTTCCAAGGCATGAGGTGCTACAGTCACTTCACCTGCTCCAAAGGGCAATGATTGTCCCCCAAACATCCACCCTTCCCCCACAAACCACCAGGATGAAGCTTTATCAAGCCTTTTGGTAGTGCTGGTCAAGCTCCCGTGGCTCCCCCTTGGACGAAGCGCTATCCGCGGACCTTAAAACCAAATGCAACCTTCCTATCTCGCTGCAGCCTTCTGGCTCGAGTGCGTCATGCGACACCTTGCCCCCGGTTGAAGGGTATGAAGATCTACCTGGCAAGGTAGCAGGGTAGCTCGAGCTAAGGTACCTGCGGGTTGACATGTCTGCCATAAATACTCTGCTTGGTCGCGGTCTCCACGCCTCTGCTGTTTGGCATCTCCTGCCTGGTCTTACAAGCAAGTGGACACCATGCATTTCTCTGGCCTTTTGATCGCGTCGCTGGCGGCTGGCGCCCTTGCGCAGTCTGTGTCGAACCCACACAAGTTGGCAGCTCAGAGGTTGGCTCAGAGAGCTCCAGCTCCGGCGCCACCACGAGAACGCCGGTCTGTGCCCTTGCTCAGGAAGAGGCAGCAGCCGAGCTTCTTGACGCCTCAGACCCAGAGTGAGTCGGCCAGATCTCGATATTTCAGACGTGAGGCCCAAATGGGAACTGACAAAGACCAGAGTTCGCTGTCAACGGTACCGGCGTGCCACTGGTTGACTTTGATATTGGCGAGTCTTATGCGGGCACACTCTCTATCGATGGGAACAGCTCAAACCAGAATCAACTGTTCTTTTGGTTCTTCCCCTCCGATAACCCTGCGGCTTCGGACGAGATCACCATCTGGTTGAACGGCGGACCTGGGTGCAGCTCGCTTGACGGGCTTCTGCAAGAACATGGCCCGTTCCTGTGGCAGAGTGGGACCTACGCTCCCTTACCAAACCCATTCTCCTTCACCAACCTGACCAACATGGTCTACGTTGACCAGCCTATTGGCACGGGTTTCTCGCCTGCTGCGCCGGGAGCCCCAGCAAAGATCAACAACGAGGTTGATGTTGGCAGACAATTTGCCGGCTTCTGGAAAAACTTTATGACCACCTTCAACCTGACGGGACGCAAGGTCTATCTCACTGGCGAGTCGTATGCTGGGCAGTACATTCCGTACATCGCCAGCTATATGATTGATCAGAACAACACCGATTTCTACAACGTTGCTGGCATCCAAATCAACGACCCCAGTATTGGACTCAACTCTGTGCTCAACGAAGGTAAGCCTCAAGTTTCCCGGATACCAGACTTGGTCATTTTTTAGCTGATATCAAGAGCACAGTGCCTGCCGTCACCCACATGAACAATTATGCCAATGTCTTCGCCCTCAATGACTCTTTTGTGGCTGCCATAAACAAGCGCGCCGAGGATTGCGGCTATATCGAGTACATGGAAAATGCATTGACCTTCCCACCCAAGGGCAAGTTTATGGAGCCGGTGAATGCATCAAACCCAGGTAGGTGGCTCTCGCGGATCATTGAGCTGGCGCTGACCTTGGCTGCCACAGATTGTTTCATCTGGGAAGACATCCTGTTTGCCGAACTCTACGTGAACCCCTGTTTCAACTTCTATCACTTGACAGGTAAGACGAGGCTCTTTTGACGTCTCCTTGAACATGGTGGCCTATGAAAAGAACATCAAAGTAACAACGTGTGACTCGTCTGACAGACTACTGCCCGTTCTTGAATGACGAGCTGGGCTTCCCATCTCTCGGCAACGGACCAAACAACTACTTCAACCGCAGCGACGTCCAAACTGCTATCCACGCCCCGCCTACCGACTACGTGATCTGCGGCGACGACACTCTATTCCCCAAAGGCGACCAATCTGACCCATCGTCCTTCACAGCCCTTCCTCACGTTATCGAACACACCAACAATGTCATCGTTGGCAGCGGCCTTTTGGACTATCTGCTCATGACCAACGGCACGCTGATGACCCTGAACAACATGACCTGGAACGGCGCCCAGGGCTTCTCCAAGAGACCCTCTGACAAGTTCTTTGTGCCATACAACCCCTCGATTGGGTTCGTGATTCAAGAAACCACCAACCAGCCCATCCCCGCCACACCCGTGGGCTTGGTCGGAGGCGGTGGGTTCATGGGTACCACGCACACCGAGAGAGGATTGACCTGGGTGACGGTCGACATGGCGGGTCACGAGATTCCTCAATACGTCCCCGGCGCCGCGTACAGACAGCTCGAGTTTTTGCTGGGTAGGATCAAGAGCCTGACCCAGATGGGTGACTTTACGACGCAGACTGGTAACTTTACTGGCACTACTCCATTGTAGCTGGCTGAGTCGCTGGGTGGAAGATTGTACCAATGAGCTTGGTAGAATTAGATAATATCGACATATCATCTAGTAATGACAAGTTATCACACCCATAACGGCAGGCACCCAAGTTGCACCACGCAGTCGGCTAAGGAGGTGTGGCATGGCCTAACTTTGCTGCATCCCCAAAACTCGTGACTGCGCGTCACCACGACGCGTATCGTTCATCCCCAATGCCGCATTCCCCACCAGATGGCGGGATAGGAGATCGATCTGGATTTATGAATCTCGCCCAGTGTTGTGTCCTTTTCTCTGCCACTTTCTTGTCCGGGAAAAGCATTTTGAAACATCCATGCCGCTCGAGCGCAGGTCGCCGTCCGTACACAACCGCTTGATGGGCACTAGAATCCCTCACCCCTCATCCACCAATTTTCATGACGGCGACGACGAATTTCCCACCCCGCCTGCGAAGCGGCTAAGAGCCACCGTATCCGCCGCTACTGTTACCACGAGCCCGAAGCGCGAGTCTCCGGGCAAGTCAACGCAGAAGCGGAAGATCAAAGAAGAGGTTGCAGACTCGGAAGAAGAGCGGGAAGGAAACGTCTTCTCTGAACAGGCCGACCCTCCACGGGCGACACAGTTGGAGGCTACTCTGCCCCCGGTCAAGACAGACGAAGAAGCCATCGAGGCCTATGAGGCTTACAAGGCAAGTGAATACGTACATGACGACCAAGACCGCCGCGATGAAGACACGACCTTGTCAAGGCTCGAATCTCGCTCCTGGATTCGAGGACGCAGCTCGATTTACGTGGACGCCTTCAACCTCGCTCTGGACACGGTCCTCGACGAGGAAGAGCATCTCTTCGACGAAGCCGAGTTGAGGCTATTTGGTCTCTGGAGAGAACTCAGCTATGAAGCGCAATACCTTTACGTGCGGCTGTTTCTACGCAAGACCAGCAAATGGTTCCGCGTCAAAGACCTGCAGTACTACAGCGATGTTGCAGACATGGAGGCGGCCGTGGCCGAGTTGCAGAAGGAAAGACCTTTACCTCCCGTTGACGAGAAGCCCAGTGTCCACCCTGGTGAATTGGAACCCCCCGAAGGCACGGTTCTGGGCGAAACATTTACCTTTGCCGAATGTTCGTCAGAACACATCAAAACGCTGGATGAGGCCAGCAGTCTATTGCTTTTGGACGAATTGAAAACTCTGGCGAAGGAGGCAAAGGTGCAAGGCAAGAACAAGCGAGAACTCTTGCACAACTTCCGCCGTACCAGTGGCAGACAAGCTGGGTTGGGGTTCAAAGAACTCAGGCGCACGGAGACGCAGGAGTCGGGAAGTGCGATGTCCGAGGACAATCACTCGACATACGATGATGAGGACGAAGAGGAAAGCAGTGGGCTGAGCACGCCAAACACCTCAACAAGTGCGAATCGAGATGCTCACTTCACGAAGAAAATCCTCGATCGGACAGGTCGTTGCGTCCGACTTTCTCTCACGCCGCTGAAGCTTTTCGAGCGGGTACATCTTGTCTTCTACCGTAGCACGGAATGGACGGAGAAGAGCTTGACGACGTTGATTCTGGCCAAGATATCCCGTCGCAATTTCCCTGAGTATATTGTCAGTCGGTCGACCACCATTTTCGAGTCTCGTGCTCGTCTCCTCGAATTCGAAGCCAGTCTGCGCACCCAGTTTCGCGTCGACAACATCCTCGAGTTTAACGGGACACCGGGCCGAAAGGCTCTAGAGGAAGTGAAAGACATCTTCGAGGCCGTGTATCCGCGGTGGAAAGCCCTGCTAGCAGAGGAACAGAGGAAAGAGGACCGCATCTACGAGAGTGGTGAGGGTGCTTATCTGCGTCGCTTCAGCCCTGCGTGGGTGTATACGCGCATTGTGCACAAGGCTCTTCAGCCTCTCGCTCGGTTCAAAGAGCATCTTCGTGAGCACGGGCTGTTGAACGAGCTACTGGGACAACGACTCTTTCACGCAGCGAGGAGAGGAGCATGGTACCAACGCAGAGCGCTGTTGGAAGAACACTACATGCACGCTCTCATGCCTGACGAAGGCCGATCGTTCGAGGCCAATAAAAAGTATTGGAAGCGTGTCGCCTTGAAGACTTGTGAGCTGGGTCTTCAAGACAAAGAATGCCACGTCATCTACCACTACGACCTGCAGAAGCGGGTGAAGAAATTGGAAAAGCAATTGCGTGTGCCCCTTCGAGAACAGCATGACTTTGGGCATGTGAGGCTCGGCAAAGCTGTGGAGAGGGATGTCGTGGGCATCAAAATCGAGCAAGGCCGCGAGGACACACCGTCACGCACTCTCGCTCTCAGCAGGAAGAACAGCGTCAACACGGCCGTGGAGAGCGATGTAGCAGCCACTAGCAGCACCAAACGCGCCTCTCTTTCCAATCAGCAAAGCAATCCAGCTCTGGGAGGCAAGACAGTCTGGCTTGACCACTTGGACACCAACCTTCCTGTGTCCGTTGAATCAATGTGTCTCTCCCACTATCGCCACGTACTGGGCTACAAAGGCTACCACTCCGAGGGCGGCATCCTGCGGACCATCTTCGGCCTTGTGTTTTACGACATCCTCTTCTTCAACCCGTACATCCCCAATGTCTTTCAAACGTCCTACCAGACCTGCCCGCTCGATCTCCACACGGACAGTTTCTTCTCGGCCCGCATGCCCGAGATTTTGGCGAGGATCAATCAGATCTCCAACGGCGAGGCCGTGGACATTGTCCGGCGGGTGTGGGACCAAGAGTACGAGAGACGGACGTGCATCGTCGGCGTGAGGTGGGACGAGTTTGAAAAGGACGACCTCTTGGAGTTGGTGGGTTGTTGGGAGGGCCAGGCGCTGGGGACCGTCATGCTGGTCATGGCGCAGGAGTATCAGAGCCGGGGCGGCGGCGTGCCGGACCTGGTGCTGTGGAAGGTTCACCAGGGCCGGACTCACACTGATACTCATGCCCACGCCCATCCTCATACCCAGGTTAACCAACCCGGACGACAAGCAAAGGGACAGATCCTCTTCGCCGAAGTCAAGTCCGCCAACGACCGGCTCAGCGACACGCAGAGGCTCTGGATCAGCGTCCTGCTCTCGGCCGGGGTGGAGGTCGAGCTGTGCCACGCCGTTGCCGGCGAGATCAGGTCCGCATGAATGAACCATTCAAACTCTCACTCTCGCTCACTCACTTACTCAGTAGTTGGAAGGTAGGAGTGGTAGTAGTGGGTAGATAGGATAGAGACGTCCCATACACATACATATACATACATACACACGCTATGTCTCATGTCCATATATCTACAAGTTCTGTATCCAAGTACTTGGTACATCAATATGTAGGTAATCATCTCTCTTTCTCTTCGTCCTCCTCTTATCTCTCGCTCTCTATCTCTCTTTCTATCGACTCTAATTAGAGCTCCCGAGCTCCAAAGATCTCTTTCTCTTTCTCTTTCTCCTCCTCCGTCTAGTCTAATCTAATCTAGTCCGGTCTGATCTCGTCTGATCTGATTTGGTCTGGTCTGGTCTAGCTTGTTGTACATGGAACAAGTACAGTCACAGTCTATTATCCCACCTCCCACCCCTCCCCGTGCCCACCCCTTCCCCGTCTATCTTCCCCATCCATCTATCTTGCGGAGCCCTAGCCCAACCACCTACCACTAACCACCTGCTGCCTGCGTCATGCGTAGCGCTGCGTCGCGTTGTGATGCGCTGTGATGCGCCGTGCTCGTCCCAACCCTTCCACGAGCTGAATTGCGCCAGGAAAAAGGGGACCGGCCCATGCGTTGGTGATGAACGATGAGCGAAAAAGACGAAAAACCACATCACTCGCATGCTTATGAGAAAGAAAAAAATGACTGAGCCCCTCGTGTGTGTAACATATCCCAATCAACCAAGGCGTGCGCGCGCTGCGTCTGTGCGTGCGAGAGGGGGAGAGAGGGGGAAAAAAGAGATCGCAATGGTGGTGAGGCAAAGAGGTATCGGCGGTCGGTGGTCCGTCATATCCATTCCTGTCCGCACCTCGCTTTCCTTCTCGGAAAAGGGAAAAAAAGCCCTGCGGCGGAGAAAGGAGTAGGGCGAGTGAAGTAAAGAGAGGTTCTCGCTCACAACTTCTTCCCGAACCAGCCAACACCTTTCTCAACGGCCTCCTTGCCCGCCGCAGCCGCCATCGCATGCTGCTGCATCAGGCTCCCCACGTCTTGACCCGGCTTGACCCGGCCGAAGTTAACGTCCAGGTCGAGCAGGATCTTCAAAGCGTTGCGACTGCGCAGGTACGGCAACGGGGCCTTTGCCTCTCTAAGGCCAACGCCCGGTTCCACTCTGCCAGCCACGCCCGACACTCCACCTCCTGCCTTCTGCTTCTCGGCCTCGTCTGAGCCAGGGAATGGGAGTAGATTCGATAGCACTTCGTACGCCGCGAGCGTAAAGCCAAACTGCGGTGATGAACGTAGGATACGGGCAGGGCCGCCCTTGAAAAATGCCTTGAACCCTTCTTCCTTGAGAATCTTGCGCGCGCAGTCCCCAAGGCCGTTGTATGTTGCTTCTCCCTTGCGGGCTTCCACTTGGAGTCGAGTCTTGATCACGTCGCAAGGGGTGGTAAGATAGGCAGCTGGCATACCCGCGATGGCACCGGCCGTCAGGAGCTGCAAGATGCCTAACGACTTGGTGGGTGATTCGCCGAAGAAATCTCTCTTCAGGTGGCTGTACGTGGGGAAGTAAATGGCCGAGAAAGGAACGTCGCGCAAGAGACAGGCTGTTACACCCTTGTACAAGCCCAGGATACCGAGATTTCGAACGATCCACATCGCACTACGTTTGGGAACCGCGTCGGATTTCTTGGCCAATTCACCCTGGACCTGCAGGCGAATTTTGACAATCTCGAGCGGGTTGGTAAAGACCTTTTACGCCGAGTCAGTATCTCTCATTTTTAGGGGGGGGAGGTCCAAATAAACTTACCACTTGACAAGCCCCTGCGGAACCGCCTGCCAGAATCTCTGCCGAGAGTGCAATCTTGCCAGTCTGCTTGTCTGTGAATCTTCCTCGCACAAGGTCGTTCACTGTGAGCTTGATGGCCTTTTCAGGAGCCACCCCAACCAACTGAGGCAGTACACCCGAGTACAGTCCCCGAAAACCTTCGTTTCGGATGACCTTGCGCGCACAGTCGATGGAATTCTCGTAAAGTCTTTCACCAGGACGGGAACTCCGCTGGTTTTGCATTCGTGTTTTGACCAGATCAATCGGATAGACCATGAACGCACCGAACGCGCCAGCGATAGAGCCAAGACCGAAATGGTGTGCAGATTCAAGCAAGCTGCGAAGTAGCTGTTGTGACTTGGACACGGCGCGGTCAGCAGCTTCGGCCACAGCATTGAGCTTCGCACCTGCTGTCTGATAGCTGGCGTCCAAAACCTTGGCGAAGTCATCCAGACTCAACCGCCCTGAGGGCGAGTCGAGACTGGCGAAGTGAAACAAGATGTCGGCTTCCATGGGGGTGTAGAGTGAGAAGCGCGTCAGTCGAGCAGCTTCGTTGAGGAAATCTGTCCGGTCGATCCTGCCGTCTGAGGATTTTGCGGTCGCATTCCGAATGATCAGATCGAGAAGGTCCATTTCGCGAATGACGTTCTGGAAAGCGCGGACGTTGGCATAGGAGATTTTGGTACCCGACGAGATATTGCACAGAGTCGGCAGGTTCTCCAGCAGGTGGTCAGACAACTTATGTCCTGCGGTGGCTCGGATAATGCGCTCAAAGTCCTCTGGGTCGATATAGCCATCTTTGTCTTTATCGTACAGGTGGAACGCCTGCCGGATGCGCTCGCCCTGCAACCCTCGCATCATCTGCGCAAACTGGGGGTAGGTCATCTCGTGTCTCTTATTTTTCCCACCGATATAGAGCGACACCCATTCTGAGTTGAAGTCAAAGGGAATGCTTTCCTGGCCTCGGTTCTGTTCGTAGATCTTTTGGAAAGTGTCCGACTTAATCGAACCCGTACCATCTTCGTCGAATAATCTGAAAGCGATTTCATATTCGGCGTCTGATTTTGCGAGGAGATTGTCAAAGGCGGCCCATTCTGACATGGAGATCTTGCCGCGCTTGTGACGGTCCGCGACTCCAAAGAGGATGCCATATTGTTCCCGTTTTATTTTGTGCTGCAAACAGAGTCCGCGTCAGGCGACATGTGCCAAAAAAAAAAAAAGATTGTATGTGATCTGAGCGACATGTGACGCGCAGGGCAGGGATCAAACTCACATAATCTTCTTCTGGTGGTGCGATGGCGTTGATAAAACCCTCCTCGTTCATGTAAAGCTCTCCGTCTTCGCCTTGGTTTGCATGTTTCAGAAACGTTAAGCGGGATTCTGTAGACAGGCTCGAAGGGGTCGTTGAGCCCAGTAAGGACTCTTTTACAGCCTCTGTGACAGTCGCCATGGTCTATGGGGGGGAGTAGAAAATCCGTCGGGAGATGAATTGTGACGGATGGTTGACGAAAAAGTGGTGATGTCTCAAATCGGTGCGGAAGGGTTCCTTATCGCGAGTTGAGCGCGATCCGACAAAGTCTGAAGTAAGAAACGCACGGGAATAGAAATGAACAGGGTCAATCAACGTGCAAACAGTCAAGATACTAAAGGCATACGGGCCAGAAGCAAAGGAGCAAAAGCAACAGAGTGCTTATGGAAGAGGCGGTGATGAGAGTGCGTGAGTGAGTGAGTCTGAGTCTGAGTCCCTTTCTCACCCCTTCTCGCCTCAAAAAAGCGCAGTTTCGGGGCACAAAATTAAACAAAAATTTGGAGCTTCCAGGTGCTCGCTATCCATTTAGCCGCGGTCTAGCCGGTCTGGGTAATCCGAGTTCAGGAACAATCTGGCTTCTTACCGGATCTGGTTTAGAGCTCGGCATAAAACTCCGCGAACCGAGTGCTGAAGCTCCGGCGGATATAATTTCTTCTTTGTTATGCACACGTGCGGAGCCTCGTGCCCACGTCCACCCGTCCATGCGGATTCCATGGAATTGGGGAAAAGGGAGGAGAGAGCAAAAAAAGGGTCATGATGCCGTTTGTGAGATTGCCAGATTGCCTTGGTCCATATACCCGTGCCTATGTCCTCCCTAACCTCCACGCTTCCCACGCCCTTCACACATCTCCATCTTTATCCTCAAAACACTCTGGAAGTACATATGCCGAGTATATATATAAATACAAAGAATACAAATGCATACTCGCCGGTTATTGCGTACGCCGGACAGAAGCCAAAAATCCCCAGGGTCATTGCATCGTTAAAAAGTATCCCCCGCCATCCAGCTTTTCCTTTTTCCCGAGATCCCGTCCTGTCCAGCCTAGTCTGGTCTTAACCCACACATTTCCTATGCTGTGTACCCATATCCAGTCTCTGAGAGAAGACGGTTGACGGACGGAAGGCTCTCTGTGGACAAGCCAGTTGTGATCTCACTGGCACGTCGACTATGTACATTGTGCCCCAAGCTGATTCCACTGTCGTCAGTGTGGTCATACTGGTCGTCGAGCGATGAGCCGCGTTCGTAGTCACTCACACCGCCTTGCCCCGAGCTTGCTCGTGATCGATTCCGGGTGTGGTTGGAGCGAGAAGGGTTTCTCAGATTCCGAAGCCCCTGTTGAAACATCTGGGACACATGATCAGTTAGCGAGATGCCGGATGACAAGCGTCAATCAATCTCCACCTACCACTTTCTCCACATCCGACATGGATTCTCCAAGCTCCTTGCACAGTGGTTGCCATATTGAATGCCGATGTCGGTTGTACGCGTCTGTCACCCTCTGGATCCGTGCCTCGTCCCAATCGGTGTCGCGCATCTTGGCCAACACCCGCTCGTGTCTTTTCCGACAGGCATTGGCTGACTTGTTGGGGAAATATCGCCGGTGGATTTCCTCCCAGGACAGTCCTCGACCCTTGGCGTCCAAGAGAATGTTGTCCTCCTCTCCGTTCCAGGGACCACTCTGTCCGGGACGGGGGATCACTTCCCGCTGCATTTGGGGAACCGGGGGCATGGAATTGGGGACCGATTGTAGATAGCTGGACATCATTTGTTGTTGGCCATATTGAAGGCTGTGGTCTGCATAGTGCAGGCTGTGCATTTGAGGAGCATTCCATGGAGCCATGCTTGGAGCCATGCTGGTGACCATATTGGCTG